TGTGAGTGTGTGTTTGTGTTGGTGTGTTTGTGTATGTGTATGTGTATATATGTGTTTGTGTAGGCCTGTGTGTGTGTGTGTGTGTGTGTGTGTGTGTGTGTGTATGTGTGTGTTTGTGTAGGCGTGTTTGTGTATGTGTATGTGTGTGTTTGTGTTTGTGTTTCTGTAGGTGTATATGTATATTATGTTTATCGGTGTGTTTGTCAGCGTGTATGTATTTCTGTGTGAGAAAATCCAAACCGACAACTCACAAGCTGGAACTGTAAGTCGGTCGGATCTCTTTTCACCATTATCGAGGCTCCACTGTCTTTGTCTTGATAAAAAGCCACATCTCGCTGCGTACAAATACAGTAGCAAAAGTATAAATATTATTATACTATAATGATCATCGATGACAGGAGCAGCACCGAAATTGATAATGGCCCCAACAACAACAACAACAACAGCAACAACAGCTGCTGCAGCAACACCAGCAACAACAACAACAACAGCAACAACAGCAACAACAACAACAACAACAACAACAAAAACAACAACAACAACAGCAACAACAACAACAACAGCTCTGCTGCAGCAACACCAGCAGCAGCAACAACAACAACAACAACAACAACAACAACAACAACAACAACAACAACAACAGTTACAACAACAACAACACCAACAACAGCAACAACAACAACAACAACAACAACAACAACAGTAAACACAAAAGCAAGAACGACCTGAGGACCGACACCGCCATCGACATCACTTCCAAAAGGAGGGAGAAATAAAGATTTAAAAACTACAACAGCAATATTCTAACAGCAGCAGAACAACATCACCTGCCACAATATATGCAGTGTTATCCTCTCTGACAAAAATCACTGAAGGCGAAAGGAGAGAAAATGGACACACCGCCTTCATCCACATAAAGACTACATGTATCACAGTAGCACGAACAATTAATTGAATCGCACTAAAGAATTTTTTTAACGGTATAAAATAGACATTATAAGCAACAATTACTATGACATCATCATCATCATCACCATCATCACCATCATCATCATCATCATCATCATCATCATCATCATCATCATCATCATCATCA